CTGCAAAGAAAGCTTCAAATTGGCGGGAAATTCTCCCTTGCACCGGGGTTCTCTTTTGCAGCAGAAAACTCTACCGTGCAAGGAAGCTATAATTTAGCGGGAACAATTTAGCAGTGCCGAAGCACACAAAAACAAAAATCACACCCTTTGGGTTGTGACAGGGCCACTGTCTGGCCCCTGTGGCCTTACACTTGGCCCACTCTTGGCTTGACAGCTTCTCAGGCCTTGAGTCTACCCCTGTCAAGGATCAAGGCTATTGCATGCCCCATGGGCACTAATGGGACCTCTGTAACTGCCCCTTAGAGTCCCAACCCAACCGCCAGTCCCAACCACCAGTTACATGCCTTAATAGCTCCTTTCCCCACCTGCAAGAAGCCTCACAAGCTACTGGCTCCCTTAGAGGAGGCATACCCAGTGCACTGCTACAGTCCCCCACAACATTCTTGCAGGCAAGCTAAGGAAGTACAGGCTGGATGAATGGACTATAAGGTGGATAGCAAACTGACTGGAGCATTGAGCTCACAGGGTAGTAATCAATGGCTCAATGGCTCAATGTCTAGTTGGCAGTCAGTATTAAGTGAAGTGCCCCACGCATCAGTCCTGGGATCAGTTTGTTCATCTTGGAGTCAATTATGACTCCAAGATCCCCCTCTGCCTCTGAGCTGCTGAGAAGGACACTCCCCAACCTATAGGTGTGCTGGGGGTTCCTCCTTCCCAGCTGGAGTACCTTACATTTATCTTTATTAAATTGTATCCTATTTCTCTCTGCCCATTGATCCAAACTGTCCAGGTTGGCCTGAATCTGCTCCCTGCCCTCCAGTGTACTAACTTTGCCCCATAACTTGGTATCATCGGTGAACTAGGAGAGGGTGCTCTCCATGTCCTTGTCCAAATCGCTGATGAAGATATTAAATAATACCAGACCAAGGACTGAACCCTACGGGACCCACTGCCCAACTCCTTCCAGGCCGAGAAGGAACCATCCACCACCCCTCTCTGGGTGTGGCCCCTAAGCCAGTTGGCCACCCACCTGACCATGTAGGTGTCCACTCCACTGTCTGCTAGCTTTCCAATGAGGATAGGGTGTGAGACTGTGTCGAAGGCCTTCCTAAAGTCCAGGAAGATGACATCAGCCTCAGCTCCTCCGTCCAGGCAGTGTGTGACCTGGTCATAGAAGTCTACAAGATTTGTCCAGCAGGATCTACCTGTGACAAACCCGTGCTGGTTTCCCCTCAGCCTCGTTTGCCCTGCTGGGCCTGCACAAATGTGTTATTTGATTATTTTCTCTATCATTTTCTCCCAGAGGTAAGTATCTGTTTTCCCACAGGTTGGCTGATCTTCTCCGAAGAGCTTTAAACTAGGCTTGATGGGGGTCGGGGAACCGGTGGTCGGAGAGAGCCCAGGGTTGGTAAACCACAAACAAGACACCCGATCACACCAGGTAAGTATTAAGGGGTCGGTAAGCCATAAACAAGGCACCAGACCACAGCAGTAAGTAATAAATAGAATACACGCCATCAAGGCACAGGGGCACCAAGAGCCCTCATTGGGGGACTAAAATGTCTTTTTACAAACGCCAGAAGTATGGGGAACAAGCAAGAGGAGCTCACACTTTTGCTTGCTAGCACCCAGTATGACCTAGTCGGACTAACCAAAACATGGTGGGATGCTACACACGACTGGGCAGTAGACATTGAGGGGTATAGATTGTATAGGTGTGGCAGAGTGGAGAAAAAAGGTAGGTGAGTAGCACCGTATGTTAAGGAGCAGTATACATCTTCCACCATCAAGGCACGGGTGGAGAAGGGGAACACTGAGGCATTGTGGGTCAGGATCCGGGGGCGGGGCAGGGGAAAAGGACTTGGTTGTGGGGGCCTCCTCAACAGGATCAAGAGCTAGACGATGTATTCTCTGGACAGCTAGCAGACACCACACAGGTGAGGGAGGCGGTGCTCACGGGAGATCTGAACTACCCAGATATCTGCTGGGAGGAGCAGACAGCCAAAACAAGCCACTCATGGAGGTTCTTACAATGTGTGCAGGACCTCCACCTATCCCAGGTGGTGTCTAGTCCCAACAGGGGAAGCGCCTTCCTTGACCTGGTCTTAGCAACAGGGGATGATCTCGTGAGGAACATACGAGTTCATGGTAGCCTGGGAGATAGTGACCATCACTTGGTCGAGTTCACTATCCAGCGAAGGGTGGGTAAAGTAACTAGTGGGGCTAAGGTGTTGGACTTCAGAAGGGCCAGCTTTAGCAAGCTTAGAAGGCTAGTTAGTGAGGGGATGCAACTCAAGAACATAGAGCAAATGGAGGTCCAGGAGGGTTGGAGGTATCTCAAGGGAGTGATCCTTGGGGCTCAAAATGAGTCTATCCCATTCCGTAGGAAGGGAGGTAAGGGGGAAAAAAAGCCCCTTTGGCTGAACAGGGAACTCCAGGAGAGTCTGGGGGCAAATAAAGAGATGTATAGGCAATGGAAGCAGGGGGCAGCCACCAAGGAGGAATATATCTCCCTGGTGCTCTATTGCAGGTAATTAGTTAGACAGGCCAAGGCGGGGCTTGACCTCAGGCTGGCACCACAATCAAGGACAATAAAAAGTCCTTCTTCAGGTATATAGTGGGCAAAAGGAAACCTCAGAGCAACATAGGGCCCCTGCAGGACAAATCAGGACAGTTGGTTGTTGATGCGGGGAAAAAAGCAGAGCTCTTCAATGAGTTCTTCACTTCAGTATTTCTAAGTACCAACCAAGCCAATTCCCCCACCTCGATCATTGACAGATGTCCACATGGCACCAGTCCATCTACGGTTAGTTCTGAAATAGTTAAGGAACTCCTGGAAGAGCTGGATGGTTACAAGTCATCAGGCCCGGATGATCTCCATCTACGGCTGCTGAAAGAATTGGCCATTGTCATAGCTCGTGGTGCTCCGGCCAGGTCCCTGAGGACTGGAGAAGGGCCAGTGTGGTGCCCTTTTTCAAGAAAGGGAGAAGGGATGAGCCAGGTAACTTCAGGCCAGTCAGTCTTACCTCCATCCCTGGGAAAATGCTAGAGAAAATAATCAAGAACACATCTGCAGTACCGTGTTCAGTTTTGGGGCCCCAACTACAGAAAAGATGTGGATAAGTTGGAGAGCGTCCAACAGAGGGCAACAGAAATTGTGAGGGGTCTGGAGCCCATGACTTATAAGGAGAGGCTGAGGGAACCTGGTCTTATTTGGGTTGGAGAAGAGAAGACTGAGGGTGTTGTTTTATAGCAGCCTTCAACTACCTGAAGGGGGGTTCAAAAGAGGATAGAACTAGACTTTTCTCAGTGGTGACAGATGACATAACAAGGAGCAATGGTCTCAAGTTGCAGCAAAAAAGTTTAGGTTTGATATGAGGAAGAATTCTCACTAGGAGGGTAGTAAAACACTGGAACCTGTTACCCAGAGAGGTTGTGGACTCTCCATCGCTGGAGGTTTTTAAGACCTGGCTAGACAAAGCCTTGGCTGGAATGATCTAGTTGGAGATCATCCTACTTTGAGCAGATGGTTGGATTAGATGATGTCGGGTCCCTTCCAACCCTAATTTTCTATGATTCTAAGATTGCTATCCTTTAAAGCAGACATAATGGAGTTAGACATATGCTGTACATGTTGCAGTATATAATTTTTAATTTCTGGGGGCTAACATTGCTGTCATGATAAGGCCTCCCCAGGGATGGCTGTGATGTCCCTAGGGCACCATGACCATGCTGGCTCCACCCTATGCACCTACTAAGCTCACCTGCCATGTCTTGCTGGTATAAATGATGAATTGGGAGGCTGCCCTCAAGTTGCTGCTCGGTGTCAGTCCTGACAGACTCCTCTAAACCCCGTACCTCCCAGCCCTGGGTACCTTGTAGACTCCTGGAGCCTCATTAGCTCCATAAACAGTCTATCCAGCAGCCACAGCATTCCTGGATAGTTCTTCCCTGCAGGAGCTCCTTCCCCTGGCAGCTTGCCAAAGAACTATCCCCTGCTGGCCTCAGCTCTGGGGCTTGTATGTGTCCAGGGCCCTGACTCCTTCTGGTCACCTAACCGGGTGCAGGTGCCAGCTAATTTCCCCATTAGCATTCTGCCCAGGCAACCTGCAGCTGCAGAGCTCTGTCTAACTCCTCAGGCTCTCTAGCCAGGAAGTTCATGCCCTGCAGCAATTGCACATATCAGTAAGTAGATTCTTTCCATCAGGAATTTTCACACTGTAGCTATACAGCTGAAGAAATTATGCTTGGAATTTCAAAATCCATGTAGGGGATCTGAATGTTCAGTTCCCCTCTCAATCTATAATTATAGTAATGGAAGAGACAAAATTAGCCAGTCCATACCAGTTTCAATTTGCTATCTACATCTCTTCAGAGAGTCCCTGTTATATATGTGTTACCAGTCATACAAGTGTGTTTTTTAGCTTCCACATTAACTAGAAATATATTGCATCTTTATTTACTGAAGAATTAAAGGTTATCAAAGGATTAAGGCAGAGAACAGGGATGCAAGTGTTGTGACCCTGATTCTGTCATAAAATTGTTGGGTGAATTTGGATAGGCCACAGAGAACCAATTCTTCAGAAGCATCATGTTCTTCTTGATGTTCTACTTCAGACATCTTACACCTGATTTGCAAAGCTTCTTAGCACACCTATAATAACAGGTGAAGTAAGTAGGAATTGTAAGTTCATAACAGCTTGGAAAATCAATTTCATGGTTTGCCAGGATGGGGATCAAAAATAGAGATAATCAAAATTAAAGTTGTCTCTTGAAAATTTGGGCCTTATTCCATAACTGCTTTATTTTTTTTTCTTTTGTCATTATACTTCCTTGTCTCAGAGATATAAATTAATCTATGTCTGTGTGTGTGTGTGAAATGCCCACCCAGAGATGTAACAGGCCATCTTTCTTCTATAGACATGCTGTGTCAATTTACCTCTGACTTTTAATATTCTTTAAAATGTAACAGAATTTAAAAGTCATTGCGTGCCAGTATATGTGTTGTAGATGTTTCAACAATGCACAAAGTCAGAAGAAAATCATTGTTAGAATCTTGATAGTCTAAAATTAAATATTCTCTCTCTCTCTCTCTCTCTCTCTCTCTCTCAATATATATATATATAGAGAGAGAGAGAGAGACAGAGAGTAATATTTCTTTTTGAGTGGCACCTAAATTTTAAATATCCCTCCTTGTTAGCATTCTGACTTTAGGATCTAGCAGCAGTAAACAAGACTATTTCAGTTCAATGTTTTCCTTCACTATCAGGACACCAATTCAAACTAACATCTGCTTTTAAATTTTTAAGAGTTTCCATGTGGCTATCACAAAAAAGTGCGCAAGACTTGTAATCGTTGCATGGTGTAAAATCAAATAGTATAATAAAGAAAAACTAGATGCTGGAGTTTTTCACTCTTTCTAAGCTGTGTTTAATATATAACATGAATCCTGAATAATGTTTTTATGCAATTTTACACAGGCAACTTTTTGCAAAGTTTTCTTAGGATTTTCATTATTCTTTTGTTGCATATGCTTAGCTAAATATGAAAGTTGCTTTCACCTGGAAGATTAGTCCAAAAGTTACTTTGTGTTTCAACTGACTCAAAAATAAACTATGCTTCATGAGAAATGAGTACCTTTCTACGAGGAACTGAATGGTGTACAGTAAGTATTTTGCGCTTTGCCATTTGATTAGTAAGGTTACTTGATATGCAATTGTAGCTATATTTATGTTCCTTCACATTTCTTACTAAATTAGGCTTCTTAAAAGACCGTATTATACATTTGCTGTCATCCTAACTGATTTGGTGTTCTTGTCTGATATGAGGAGTCTAAAGTTTGTTTACTTTTTATTCTCCTGATAAATTAGGTCAAAGATCAGTCTTTATAGTCAGACAAACAGGTCTTAGTCATTTAAGTCTTACTGATAGACAGTACTAGTACACACAGGGTGCATTGACTCATGCTCTCAACTGCACAGTTATTACTGAGCAGTAACTGCTGTTACTGTTCAGTCCCTGCAGCTCACAGGTTGTTTCCAACTCTACTGAACAGTAACAATGAGCTACTGCACAGTACCTCATTGCTACTGCAGAGTAGCATCAGCATCATGGTTCCTGCCTGCTGATGCTGTGTCACCATTGTGACACGCTATGTCACTGTAGCTTATTGCTACGGTGATATAGCATCTCGTATACAGAAACACAAATATTGAATACTGCATAGTACTGTATTTTTTTTTCCCTTACTTTTTTAATGTACATTACTTGTCAGAAGACATGCTACAAGAAATTTTCCCTGAAGGGACAAGAAAGTTTGCGAAAGACCCCCGCCCTTAAAACACTGACATAAATGCACAATTGCTAACCTTCATGATCAAAAATTGAACCCTAGACTACAATGCACAAAAGGTTTGCATGTTCTAAATACAGTACTCCAGCTGCAGCCTCACCAAGGCAGAGTACAGCGGGACAATGACATCCTGGGATTTGCTAGAGAAGCATCTGTGGATGCAAGCCAGAATTTTCCTCGCTTTGCCAGTTGCAACATTCCATTGGTGGCTCATATTCATCTTGTGGTCAATCATGACCCACAAGTCCCTTTCAGTCATGGTGCTAGCAAGCATAGCTTAACTCCTTCAGTCTAAGAGTTTCCACCTTGCACCCTTGCTTTCGAAGACCACACAGAACAAGTCTGGAATCCTTGGGGTGGCTGCACAAGCTTTTCACTCCTAGCTTCAAAAAAACCTCATAGTTCTTTACAGGACTTAACTTAATGCACACGGGGAAACACGTTCACTGACAAGAGCAACACAGTTTCAAACTCTTTTCTACTCACAGTTCCTATTTACATAGTGGATCTGACAATTCTGGCAGCAAAAGGATCGGATAGGGTAAGCCTCAAGCAGCGAACTGGAAGACACACAGGCAGTTTCTCACCAAAAAGCCCCAATAGAGATTTCAAAAGGTCTCTTACCTTAGTTTGGTCCTGGGCATCAGTGAGGAGATGGTCTGTATCTCAACCTATCACTCTGGGCATCTCTATCCGAATCATGGCACCAAATTCTGGAAGAAATCAAACTTCGCGTTGTGGTTGTATCAGAATTGGCAGAGCCAGCTTGGTTTATTTACAGCTATACAAGTGATCACAAGGAGGGTTCTCAAAGGAACTCTGACCTCTACAAGTTTACAAGCATATTTATACTTTAGACAGAGAGAAAAGATTCAGGGTTCAGACAGAACAACCTTGAGAGAAACGGAAAGATGTTGATCATTTGTTTGTCACACGTAAGCAGTTTACTTATTCAGAAAAAAAAACCACTGTGTTTTGGGAACAGTTATCAGCTTCTGGTTCGGGGGAAAGGAGGAGGTTAACATCTGCACACAGAGCTTAATATATCAAGACAAAACAAGGCATGAAGGTTTTTTCTTATCTTAGAACATTTTGAAACACATAGCATCAGCATCTTGTTGTCTTCTTTTTCTCTCTCTTTGTCTCTCCTGTTAGTCAAGTAAGAGGCCTGGTTAAACTTATTTCCACAATCTCCAGTTGTGCTTTGTCCTTCTTGACTTCATCTCTGCATCACGGTTGCCCTTTCCAGCACTTGCACCATGAAGTTATTCCCAACAGTCTCGAAAACTTCCTAGATTGCCTGTGCAACTACTGTATTGCTCTCCCATGAAGTCCCCCATGAGAACCAGGGCTTCAAATTGGGTAACTTGTGCTATTTGTTTGAAGAAAGCTTAACCCACCACTGTTGACTTGATACACACCAGATCAACACTTGGGATCTCAATATTGCAGTGTTAGGCAGAAGGACGTGACACAAAATTATACACACACAAACTGCACATACAACACTATAGGTCTACACACAGATACACATATACACAAAGGCAAACACACATTTCAGTGGCTGTGTGTGTTAATACTAGCGGGTACTTGGGGTGTGCTTGGTGACTAGGGGAAACTTGAGGGTATTTGGGGTGCTTGATGGTACTTGGGGGTGGTTTGAAAATCCTGGAGACAGGGAAATCCAGGAGGTCAGGAGGTAAAGGAGTGGAGCTGGGGGAGCAAGCCGGCAGAGAAGCTGGGAGGTCTGGAGGTAGAGGAGAGAGAGAGAGCCAGGGCAGCAGAGGCAGAAAAGCTGGGAGGTAAGCTGGGGAATAAGGCTGGGGTGGGAGTCAGGAGGCTGGGAGGTAAAGAGAAGTGGGAGGGTTGGGGTGGCAGGAGCCAGAACAGCCAGGAAGTAAAGAGCCAGATGGGGCAAAGAGCTAGCTGGGGGTGAGAGCTGGGAGCCAGGAGGCAGGGAGGAGCAGTGGAGAAAAGCTAGGATGGTGAGGGGAGAAAGCCAGGAGCTGAGGCAAAGAGAAGGAGTGGGGCAGGGAAATAGAAGGCACAGAACAGGGCCGGGGCTATCTGGCAGGCAACGAGAGGTTAGAGCTGGCCAGAAGGAGCAGCAGAGGAAAGCAAGGAGCCAAGGAAAAGAGAAGGCAAAGAGAAATGGCGGAGCCAGGAGGTAGAGAGCTGGGAGACTGGGAGGAGCAACGGAGAAAAGCCGGGAGTTGAGGTAAAGACAAGTGGCAGAGCAGGGAGGTAAAGAGAAGCAGCAGAGAAGGGCAATAGAAAACACAGAACAGGTCTGGGGCTATCCGGGATTTCATAGATTTCATAGACATTAGGGTTGGAAGGGACCTCGGAAGATCATCGAGTCCAGCCCCCTGCCCTAGGGGCAGGAAGTCAGCTGCAGTTACAGGATCCCAACAAGATAAACAAACATCCAACTGACTCTTAACTGAGTCCAGAGTAGGTGCTTGCACCACCTCTGGTGGCAGTCTGTTCCAGGCCTTGGGGTCTCGGACTGTAAAGGAGTTCTTCCTTATGTCCAGCCTGAAATGGTCTTGGAGAAGTTTGTGATGATTTGACCGTGTCATCCCATGTCATCCCGCTCTGGGAACAGGCATTCCCCCAGATCCTGACGTACACCCCTTATATACTTATAGGTACCCACCAGGTCCCCACGAGCCTGCGCTTTTCCAAGCTGAAGAGTCCCATAGCTCTCAGCCTCTCATCATAAGGCCTGTTTTCCTGCCCTCTGATCATGTGCATGGTTCTCCTCTGAAATCTCTCAAGCTTCTCCACATCCTTTTTAAATTGTGGAGCCCAGAATTGGATACAGTACTCCAGCTGCAGCCTCACCAAGGCAGAGTACAGCGGGACAATGACATCCTGGGATTTGCTAGAGAAGCATCTGTGGATGCAAGCCAGAGTTTTCCTCACTTTGCCAGTTGCAACATTCCATTGGTGGCTCATATTCATCTTGTGGTCAATCATGACCCACAAGTCCCTTTCAGTCATGGTGCTAGCAAGCATAGCACTGCCAAGCCTATAGGCATGCTGTGAGTTTCTCTTCCCAAGGTGGAGTACCTTGCATTTTTCGGTGTTGAGCCGGCCGGGGGTGAAAGCCAGGAGGCTGAGAGGAGTGGTGGAGGAAAGCTGGGAGTAGAGCAGAGCCAGGGCAGAGCAGAGGCAAAGACATGGCAGAGAGCTGGGAGCCAAAGCGGAGAGCAGAGTCAGGGGTTGGACCCGGGGCAGAGAGCAGAGTCAGTGGAGCAGGGTCGGGGGTGAGAGCTGAGAGGAGCGGGAGCCTGGGAGGAGAGCAGAGCCGGGGCAGTGCAGAGGCAAAGAGGTGGTGGAGAGTCAGGAGCTGGGGTGGAGAGCAAAGCCAGGAGAGTCAGGGGCTGGAGAGACAAACCAGAGGTAAAGAGATCCAGGAGGCCAGGCGGAGAGGTGTTCCTTTCCCCTCCCATCCCACCATGCTATAAATATATGGGTTTTTTACCATTAACTATAGCTGCTTAATAACTGCTTTATCATAAGAGTAGTGAGTAGGGCTATGATATCATAAGAGGAGCAGGTGCATGGGTATTTGTTGCCTCCCAGTTGATTGGTGATTGCTGTTGATGTTGGTGGTGGTGTGCTCTTCTGGTTTTTTTTTCTGTTTGGTTTTTCTGGACTACATTTCCCAGCATGCCTGACCTTATTGATCTTCATACAGTTTCAAAAGAGCAAATGCCTATTCCGTTTGCTTGCACTTATAGTGCTTTAAGTTGCATAATAGAATACTTCTGCCAGGGGCTTTTGAACATGTGTACTTAACCAAGATGTTGAGAAGAGGACAAGAATTGAGATTATAATAACTGATTTTTTTTTCAGAACAAATGTTACCATTATTTGAATACTTCTTTACCAGTTTAAACAACATCAGAGTAAGCAAAATAAATTCAAGTTTTTTTCAATTTCTGAGCTCCAAACTACAGTGTACATTCCTTAAAATTATGTATTAGCATATTTGTAAATAGCGTTTCTTGATTAATCTATATTTTCCCCTAAATTAGCCTTCTTTAGAAATGAATCACTCCATCCATGAGAGAAATATATTAAATGCAAATGCTATCATTATCTCTAACATTTTGACAGTCAATCACACATTTTAAAAAACAATTTAAATAGCTGAGTGGGACATAAGAGAGCTAATGTAGGATATAATGAATTTTAATATTTAGTTTCGTTTTCCCAGGATGCTGTGGAACTGAACTTGTGAATACCTAATGGCACTTTATCATGTACCTGACTTTACATCCTCTTTCACTTCGACACAAAAATCCCCAGGCTTCTTTCTTCTTTGTTAAAAGATTAGTAGAACTAGAGTGCCTGTAATTCTCTATCTTCTGAAGCCATGATAGAACTAAGCATGGAGACTATTGCAGCTGTAAACACCTTGTTTTCTGAAGCCTATTGTACTCCCTTTCAATTATTAATTCAACTATTTTATACATGTTCTCAGCAAATCTGAAATGTATATGCAGGACAGTGTAAAAACAATAGGTGTGTGTAGATGATGCGAGAGTTAATGTAGACCACCTGGAAATTTAATTCTGGCTTTTTTTAGTGCGTTCGTGTTTGCACAAACGGTGCTTTTAAGTGGGTTAGACCCCCATGTTTCATTCCTCTCAGATTTCAGTAGGGGGAGTCAAATACCTATATAAATACCTATACCTTACCCCCTAGTCTTTCCTAATGTATCACAGCAGAAGGCACATGTGAACCAACTGGGCTTCCTAGTCCTCCCCCCGCCCCAACCCAGACTCTCACTGGGCAGTCCTGACTCTCAATGGCAGTCTACCCTTGGCATAGTCGTGGTCACCCCAAAATTCTTGTCACTTGCACTTGCTTATGTTCATTCAGTCTGGTCTCTCCACCAGTACGTGACCCCCAAAACCCTGTCCCAAACCCAAAGACAAGCTGAGTCAATCCTCTCCTCCCATTCCTTACCTTCCCATCCCAACATGCTACAAATATATGGGGGGCTCTTTTCATTAACTATAACTGCTTAATAACTGCTTTATCATAAGAGTAGTGGGTAGGGCTATAATATCATAAGAAGAGTGGGTGGGTGTTTGTTGCCTCCCAGTTGATTCGCTATTACTGTCAATGATGGTGGTGGTGAGCTCTTCTGGCTTTATTTTTGTTTGTTTTTTCTGGACTACATTTCCCAGTATGCCCGAGCTCAATGATCTTCATATAGTTTCCAATGGCAGCTCCCATTGGAACTCTTCCCTTCTCTGCCCAGGCACAACGTCAATCTGTTTGTGTAGTGTCACATACAGCTGTTAGAGGTGTGTTGTGAAATGTTTTATAAATGTTTTTGGAATGTTTTTCAAAATGTGGGTTGTTCAGCTTGCTCCCCTCCCCTCCCCACAGGGACTCATTCACATGTGGGTGACAGTGCGTAATACCCCCCTCCCCAAAACCACTCACAGTCTGGAAGCAGCAAACCCCTAACCCAGTCCAGATTTCCTCCCCATTCCCCTGACCATCCTCCCTTCTGCCCCCCATCTGCAATGACACATTCCCCTGTAGACAGACAAAGATTTAAAGTATAAAAAAATGAATTTATTTTTATTTTGGAACAAAGCACTCCTAGGGATTGTTGTCCTACCAGACAGTCAAGCACAAGAGCCTCCTGACCAGTCTCTCTTTGAGGATATCTCC